AGAAAATTCGATTTTTCTGCAACTTGTCGTAAAATCTAATACATCGCTCCGGTGTTTGCACACAAACCAAGCTACAGTAATCCAGACGCTAGAAAATCAATTTTTGGGTCATTTTTGATAATTTTTCTGCAAATTTTCTATTCAAAATTCACAAAATTTGTCATTTTGATCCCTAAAAATGCTGAATTTCAGCAAAAATGACCCCAAAAATCGATTTTCCAGCATTTGGATTACTGTAGCTTGGGATTCTGTGCAAACACCGAGTCGATGTATCATATCCTACGACAAAATGCAGAAAATTCAATTTTTTAGCAACTTCCACTGTGCGAATTTGAAAGCGACTATTTTTGAGCGATTTGTGCATTTTGTCGTAAGATTCGGTGTTTTGGTTTGGTGTTTGCACCGAATCCCAAACTACAGTAATCCAGGACGTAGAAAATTGGTTTTTGGGTTGTTTTTAGCCATTTTTCTTGATTTTTCGGCTGAAAATCGAGTTTTCATAGCTCCAAATCGGCAAAAAAATGAGATTTTAAGGTCAAAAAAACCATTTTCAACCCCCAAAATTATTTATCCCACTTTTTCCAGGCACAATCGACGAGCGTGCGATCAACAAGAGGAACCTGAACACGTACACAAAGCTGGAGAACCTGACGCTCGCCCTGATGTCCTCTCAAGCGATCGGCTGCAATATAATCAATATCGACAATATCGATTTGTCGAAAGGCACCGCCCATCTGGTGCTCGGCCTCCTGTGGCAGATCATTCGCATTGGACTCTTCAATCAAATCGATTTGCAACACTGTCCCGGACTGTTCAGACTCCTGAGGGACGGTGAGACGCTGGACGACCTGAGGAGACTGTCTCCAGAAGAGATTCTGATCCGTTGGGTCAACTACCATCTGGAGAGGGCCGGAACCTCCAGAAGACTGCACAATTTCCAATCGGACATCGTCGACTCGGAGATCTACACGTACCTGTTGAATCAGATAGCTCCGCATGGCTCAGGGGTCACTCTGGCGCCCCTCAACGTTCAGGGAAACGTGCCGAGGGCCGGTGCGATGCTGGATGAGGCTGAAAAGCTGGAATGTCGCGAGTTTGTGACGGCGAATGATGTGGCGGCGGGCAACTATAAGCTGAACTTGGCTTTCGTCGCCAATTTGTTCAATAAGCACCCCATGTTGCCGGATCCAGGGGCGGATGAAGTTGGTAAGTGGTTTTTGGAGCTTAAACCCCTGAAATAAAGATGAGTAATCGACGAAAAAATCCCGGGAAAAATGGCCGGAAACATCGAAATTGTCATTTTTAGACTGAAAATGAGCCAAAAATCGATTTCCCCACCCCTGGATTACTGTAGTCTGGATTCTCCGAACAGATACATCATATTTGGACATTTTTGATACAAAAATCGATTTTCCAGCTCAAAAACGCCCAAAATCCGATATTTTCACTTCATGGGTTACTGTAGCTCCGATTCTGTGCAAACACTGATGCAATGTATCAGATTTTACGACAAATTGCGGAAAATTTGAAATTCCAAGTGGAAAATGGGATTTTCTGCATTTTGTCGTCAAATCTAGTACATTGTCTCGACGTTTGCACAGAATTCAAGTTTTATTCAAGCTACAGTAATCCAACAATCAAAAAATTGAGAAAAAAAGCGTTTAGAGCATTTAATGCGTCCAAAACTGTCTAAAAACGGCTCAAATGACCATATTTTGTCATAAACGCTTTAGAAACCTGGAAAAATCGATATTTTGTCTCTAAAAATAGCTGAAAACGGCCCATTTTTGATCTCCGAAACCCCTGAAATAAGGATGAGCAATCAACGACATTTCCAGAAAAAATGACGCCATTTTAACACCAAAAATGACCCAAAAATCGATTTTCCCCACCCCCGGATTACTGTACTTTGGGTTCTCCGAGCAGCTGAGCAACTTTCATCATCAAATTCGAATTCCCCACAAAGATTCACCCCGGAACCCACTTTTCTGCGTCTCTAACGCTCAATTTCGGGTTTTCGAGTTACGGTAGCGCCGATTGTGTGCAAACACCGGATCGAAACACCGAACCTTACGACAAAATGCACAAATCGCTCAAAAATAGCGGTTTCAGAGGTAAAAATAGGTGGGGAATTCGAATTTCGACATGAAACGTGTCTAGGATCAGCGGTTTTCTGGGGAACTTGCAAGCTACAGTAATCCCTGTGTTTAGAAAATCGATTTTTGGGGACATTTTCGCCTCTAAACGTAACATAGGCAATCCGAGAAACCTACAGTAACCCCCGTTTCGAGGTTTTTCAGTGGAAGACGTCGTCGAGGAGACGCGCGAGGAGAAAACCTACCGTAATTGGATGAATTCGATGGGTGTCGACCCGTATGTCAACTGGCTATACGGTGATCTTCAGAATGGTGTCGTCATTTTCCAGGTGAGCCATCTTACGACTTTCTGACTTTTTTGAGTGCAAATTTGGCTGGAAATGGCTGAAAATGACCCAAAAATCGAGAAAAACGGTCAAAAATTACCCTAAAACCAGTTTCCGAGCCCCTGGATTACTGTAGTTTGGATTTTGTGCAAACACCGGAAGGTCTGACTACAAAATGCAGAAAGTTTGATTTTTTAGCATTTTTCATGCCCAAATTCGAATTCCCCGCCTATTTTTACCCCGAAAACCATCATTTTCTAACGATTTGTGAATTTTGTCGTAAGGTTCGGTGTTTGCACACAATCGGCGCTACAGTAACCCGAAAACTCGAAATTGCGAGCTAGAGATGCACAAAAAGAGGTTCTAGGGTGAAATTTTGTCTGGAATCTGAATCTGATAATGAAATTTTGCTGAAAATTCGGGGAATTGCTCAGCATTAAAAAATGTTCATTTTTTTCGAAAATTCCCAATTAACCGGAAAACCATCCATCCTACATAATTTTCACGTTGAAATTCGAGATTCCCGCCTATTTTTACCCGCGCAACGACCATTTTCAAGCATTTTGTGCACTTTGTCGTAAGGTTCGGTGTTTTGATCCGGTGTTTGCACAGAAATGAAGCTACAGTAACCAAAAAACGCAAAATTGCGAGTTAGAACCGCAGAAAAGAGGTTCTAGGGTAACATTTTGTGAGGAATTCGATTTTGATAATGGAATTTTCCTGAAAATTCGGGGTATTGCTCAGCTTGAAAAATTTGAATTTTTGTCGAAAAATTCCCAATTTCCCGGAAAACCATCCTTCCCAAACAATGTTCATGTTGAAATTCGAATTTCCCACCTTTTTTCAACACCAAAACGATGTTTTTTGAGCGATTTGTGCAATTTGTCGTAAGGTTCGGTGTTTCGGTGCGGTGTTTGCACACAATCGGCAGTACAGTAACCAAAAACTCGAAAATGAGAGCTGGAACCGCACAAAAAGAGGTTCCAGGGTGAAACTTTGTGGGGAATCTGAATTTGATAATGAAATTTCGCTAAAAATTTGGGGGATTGCTCAGCTTAAAAACTCTGAAAAAATTTTGGAAAAAAAACATTTTTTTTCAGTTTTTTTTTGGTTTTTCAATTATTTTTTGCTCTAAAATGCCCAATTTTAGCCGAAAAATTGGCAACGTTTTGCAGCTCTACGACATAATCCGGCCGGGAATGGTGACGTGGAAGCGTGTGGTCCGTCAATTCCACAAGCTACGCGGTATGATGGACCAGATTCAAAACTGTAACTACGCCGTCGAGTTGGGCAAACAACTGCGCTTCTCGTTGGTCGGAATCCAGGGAAAAGACATTTATGATGGAAATCAGACGCTGACACTGGCACTGGTCTGGCAACTGATGAGAGCCTATACACTGAGTGTTCTGGCACAGTGTACACAATCAGGAGACTCGCTGCCAGCTGATAAGGATATCGTTGCATGGGTTAATGAGAAATTGTCGAAATCCGGCAAATCCACGTCCATCCGATCGTTCCAGGTGAGCCAAACGAGTCAGAAATCGTTTTTATACTTAGAATATATCATTTTCGACCCTGAATTCAGCTTTATCAAGCCAAGAGCTTTAAAATGAGCCTAAACACGACTAGGCTCCGCCCACTTTGGTTTTTCAGACGCGTCGCGGTCGTGCGTCGCGTGTCTAGCGGGAAATTTCAAAATAGGTGGAGCCTATCCGAGTTTGGGCTCATTTTAAAGCTGATAATGAGCTAAAAATGATGACGAACACTAAAAATCGAGATTCTGACTATCTTTGGGTCTTGAAGTGAAAAAATTAGAAGTTGGAATTTTTTCAAAAAATGATTTTAAAAAAATTTTGCCGAAATTTTCAAAATTTCGTCGTGTTTGGGCTCATTTGAAAGCTCCGAACTTGACAAAGCTGACTTCAGTGTCACAATTCTGAAATTCTGAGTAGAAAATTCGAAAAAAATTGCTCTAAAAGTCAGCACATTTTCGAAAAATCGATTTTTTGAGCCTCGAAACTGAGAATATCAGAATGTTGATCCCGAAGTCAGCTTTTTCAAGTGTAGAGCTTTAAAATAAGCCCAAACCCGATTAGGCTCCGCCCATTTAGCTAGACACGCGACGCACGACCGCGACGCGCCTGAAAACCCAAAGTGGGCGGAGCCTAGGCAATATGGGGCTCATTTTGAAGCTAACAACGAGCTGATTTTGTTAAAAACACTAAAATGAAACTTTTTATCACAAAAATCTTGATTTTTGGACCAAAAACCCCCAAAATCCCCGAATTTTCCAGGACCCAGCAATCTCGACGGGAAAAGTGGTGCTCGATTTGATCGATGCGATCAAACCGAACGTGATCGATCACTCGCTGGTGAAGCCGGGCACAACGAACGAGGAGAAAATGTCGAATGCAAAGTATGCGATCACTTGTGGAAGGAAGATTGGTGCCAAGATTTACGCGCTGCCAGAGGATATTGTTGAGGTACATTCTATTTGAAAACTCCAGAAAAATTGAGCAAAAAATCACTGAAAATGAGCAATTTTAAGCTGGAAAGCACTAAAATGAGCAATGTTCACCTTCAAATGGCTTCCAGCATCTCTAGAAACCTCCAAAACCGAATTCAGTTTACCGAGAGCTTTCAAATGAGCCCCATAGTGCCTAGGCTCCGCACATTTTGATTTTTGAGACGCGTCGCGGTCGTGCGTCGCGTGTGCCAGGTAGAACTTCAAAGTGGGCGGAGCCTAGGCAATAGGGGGCTCATTTTGAAGCTCTTGACTTAGGAAAGCTGAATCCATAATCAAAATTCCCATATGCTCAATTTTGGGTCTTGAAAAATCGATTTTTCTGAAATTCTGTAAATTTGCCAACCTTTAAAGCAATTTTTCGAATTTTCTACTTCAAACATCTGAATTTCGACCCTGAATTCAGCTTTGTCAAGTTGAGAGCTTCAAATTGAGCCCCATATTGCCTAGGCATCGCCCACTTTGATTTTTGAGACGCGTCGCGGTCGTGCGTCGCGTGCGCCAGGTGGAATTTAAAAGTGGGCGGAGCCTAGCCGAGATTGGGCTCATTTTGAAGCTCTTGACTTGGGAAAAATGAATTCAGCGTCAAAATTCCTATATTTCCAACTTTGGGGATCAAAAAACCAATTTTCTGAAAATTTGGCTTAAAATCCCCCCCCCCCCCACCGATTGCTCAGCTTAAAAAATATCCCAATTTTTTGCAGGTGAAACCCAAAATGGTGTTGACCGTATTTGCGTGTTTGATGGCCCGCGACTATATGCCCGACATGAAGGAAGTCTCCGCCCCCGTCGTCCCAATGATCAATGGGAATTAGGCCCCGCCCACTTTTTTGGGTTTTTTCAAAAATTTTGAAATTCCCTCCTTTTCTCCTCCTTTCTTTTTCTCTCAAAAAGCCCCGCCCCTATCTTCCGCTTTAAAACTCTAAGCCCCGCCCACTTTTTTCTTTGGCTCCGCCCCTTTTTGTTAGCTTTAATCCCGACCCCAATTTTCAATGTGATATAATCCTCCAGTTTTTTTTTCACTTATTTGATTGCTCATCCTCATCTCATTATTTATAAAATAAAATTGTATAAGCCACGCCCCCTTTTTCTGGCTCCGCCCCCTTTTCTATGCCTTTGAATCCCCCGAAATATTGCATTTTTGGTCCCTAAATGTTATACTATATTCACCAAATATTATTGCTTAAAACTACTACTACCAGTGTGTCCCCCTCTAAGCTCCGCCCCCCACAATCAGGCTCCGCCCCCTTTATTTTTCCCACACAAGATTCCCTATTTTTCCTCTTTTTGATGAGAAAAATGTCGTTTTTTCGCGTTTTCCAATCTCAAATGAATTTCGATTTTCCTGAAAAAAAAATTCCGATTTGGCTGAAAATTTTGGGATTTTCAGACAAATTTTTTTTGGCTGAAAACTTCAAAAAAAATTTTTTTTTTGAATTTTTTCGATTTTTTTTCAAAAATTGGACCCCTTTATGGTATCTGAGAAACTCATATTCATATAAATTACAAATTTTTGAAGAAAATTAAAATTCCAAAAAAAAAATTTTTTCTAAAATTTCGAATTTCCCGCCATAAAGAAAGTTTTTTAGGCTGAAACATTGAGAATATCCAAATTTTGATCTCAAATTCGTTTTTAGGACTTTTAGAGCTTCAAAATGAGCCCAAATTCGACTAGGCTCCGTCCACTTTGAGTATTCCGGCGCGTCGCGGTCGGTGCGTCGCGTGTCCGAGAAGTGGGCGGAGCCTAGTCGTGTTTGGGCTCATTTTGAAGCTCTTAATGAGCCGATTATGATGGGAGCAGTGAATTTCAACTTTTTCTGAAGGTTTTAAGGCAAAAATCTTTTTTTGGAATTTTGGAAAATTCAAAATTTCCAAAAAAAAAACAGTTTTTCAGGACTGAAAATCAGGAATATCCTATTTTTGACCCTGAATTTATTTTTGTGGCCTTTTGAGCTTCAAAATGAGCCCAAACACGACTAGGCTCTGCCCACTTTGAAATTTCCTATTGAGACGCGCCAGAAAAACCAAAGTGGGCGGAGCCTATTCGTGTTTGGGCTCATTCTGAAGCGCAAAATGTGCTGATTACGATAAAAATATCCAATTTCAGATTTCAGACATTTTTGAAACTTTTTTGGAAAAAAAAATTTTTTTGGATTTTTTTTTACATTTAAAAATCATTTATTGTATCTTAAAAACCCGTATATATAAACTGAAAATCACATTTTTGGAATTTTCGAAAAAAATTCATATTTCCCGCCTAAATTATCAAAAGAAAAACGGCTAAAAATGCTGTGGAAGGCGCTGATAAACGGCACGATCCAGCTGATTCTTGCGCTGAATCGTCGATAAATAGCTCAAAATCAAAATTAGCGAGTTCAAAAAATAGAAAAAATAGAATTCGTGTCGTCGAGACTCTCGTGGCGATGGGCACGGGCGGAGTACGGTAGTTGACGATTTCGAGCAGTTCACACGATCGAAATATCCCGTTTTGAGGCAGTGAGCTGAAAGAAATATCGATTTTTTTGGAATTTTCAGAAAAAATGACCTAAAACGAGCCAAAAATCGTCGAAATTGACTAATTTTGAATTTTGGAATTTGTTTTTTTCAAATTTTCCGAAATTTCCATCGGTGATATTCAAATTTAGACTTTGAATTCAGCTTTGTCATGCTCTGCGCTTCAAAATGAGCCCAAACTCGACTAGGCTCCGCCCACTTTGAAAATTTCCAAAGACACGCGACGCACGACCGCGACGCGCCTGCAAAATGAAAGTGTGCGGAGCCTTGTCGTGTTTGGGCTTATTTTGAAGCTCTCGCCTTGCTGAATTCAAATTCCCTATAGAAAACGCTTCAAAATGAGCTCAAACTCGACTAGGATCCAAAAAGTTTGGATTACTGTAGTCTCGGTTCATCTTCAAACTACCGTAACCCCGCTAATTTTGACTCAAAATTCATGAAAATTATACGAATCGATCTAAAATGCAATGAGCTTCAAAATGAGCCTAAACTGGACTAGGCTCCGCCCATTTTAAGTTTTGAGGTGCGTCNCGGTCGTCGTCNGCGTGTCTAGGTGAGTGGGCGGAGCCTAGGCAATATGGGGCTCATTTTGAAGCTCTAATTTTGCTTATTATGATAAAAACATCAAAATTTTAGAATTTTGAAGTTTTTGGATCTTTTTTAAAATTAAAAAAAAAATAATTTTTTCTTGAATTTTTTGAAAAATTTTTTTTTGGATTTTTCCGATTTTTTTTTAACTTTCTAGACCAGATTTTCTTAATTTTTTTAAATTCGCAGTCAATTTTCAGCCATTTCCAACCACTTACCCGCTTTAATCGCCTTAATTTCGAACTCTTTACAGGGCAAACACTGAGTGACGACTTGGAATGGTTCGTGCTTCCAGCACTCTTCAATGGGGTACTCTATGGCTTTTCCCAGGCCATTTTCAGCCGGTTTTGAGTGTTCTTTGTCTGAAATTTTGGAATTTTTGGAAAAAAATTTTTTTTAATTTTTCGAATTTTTTTGGGATTTTCAGCATTTTTAGCTCGATTTTCAGCATTGTTTTATGTTTTTTAACCCGATTTTTTTAATTTTTCAGATTTTTTTCAGATTTTTCCCTCAAATTTTCAAAATTTAGGCTTTCTCACTATAAAACGCCTTCTTCATCTCCATCTCGGCGTCCATCTCGCTCTCCTCAGTGTATTCTTCGATGAAGAAAACAGAATCGAGAATCCAATTAGCGCCAGGACAAATGTCGAAATTTGTTTCGTACTGCAGTATTCCATCTGGAAAAATAGGCTTGTTCGGCGCAAAATCGCATGGAATATAGCTTAAAATCGAAAAATTCAGCTTTTTTAACCGCAAAAACCAAGAAAAACCGAGAAAATCGGCTTAAAACAGCATTTTTAATCCAAAAATCGCCGAAAATCCACGTATTTCCGTCCCCGTAAATCGACACAAGCTATGCAAGCGCGCCCCACTGGACAACCGCGACGCGGCCGCGGCCGCGTCCCTCGTGTCCTCTTCCAAATGTCTGCTTCTCGCAGTTTTGCACACTATTTCGTCGCAGTGGCGTCCGCCGGTCGAATTTGTGCTCTCTGTTCAGTTTTTTCGGCCATTTTTAGACGGCCCCCGTCCATTTGGGTTCAAAAATGTGCTAAATTTTATGAATTATAGAGGAAATTGGTAGAAAATTCGAGAAAAATGTGGAGATTTTCAGAGAATTTCGAAAAATGTCGAAAAAAATTTTTTTTCGAAATTCTCTGATATGGAATTATCAGTCTTTTTGGGAATTTTCAGCTATTTTAAATTTAAAAAATCACTGAAAAAGCAGCAAAAAAGCAAAAAATTCGAAAAAAAAGGATTTTGTTTGGATTTTTTTCAATTTCCCAAAAACCCCAAATTTGAAATTTCCAAATTTTCCAGACGAATTTCTAGTTTTTTCCGCTTTAAAAACCCGTAATTCTTATTTTTAATGTTTTTTCTGAATTTCCAGATTTTTCCACCGATTCTCAAGATTTTCAGCTATTTCCAGCCATTTCTAGTGAATTTAACCTCGAAAAATCGAGTAAAATCACATTTTTCACCTAAAAATCCACTTTTTCCATCGAAAATCGATCAAAAACTGGTCTTTTTCGATTTTTCCACCTCCTTCCTTGCCCCGTAAATCGACACAAACCCTTTTCGTGGCGAAACCCGCCGGCGTGCGCCTTTAAACACACGGCCGCTGGAAGACGAAATCGTAGGCCGTTTTATTGGTTTTTCGGCGCTAATTTCGAATTTCGAGTTTATTTTCGGCGATTTTGGAGCTTAAAATCAATAAAAATCTCGAAATTTACCAGTTTTTCGCCCGAAAATCGCTTAAAATCTGAATTTTTTCGAAAAAAAAATTTTTTTTCTTCATTTTTTCGCCTTTTTTCGCCTTTTCTTCAATTTTCAGCCAATAAATTCCCACTTATTTCAGCAGAAGCCATGGAAACACGCAAAATCCGCACCCCGTCTGCCCGTATGCTCGCCGCTAAAGAAGACGAATGTGGTCTACCGCTTCCCAAGTCATTGCTACCACCACAATTGACGTAAGTGGTCGAAAAAAGCTCTGAAAAATTTGAAAAAGGCTGGAAAATTTGAATTTCCCGGTCATTTTGACCCGAAAACCCCACTTTTTGAGGTATTTTTCACCGGAATTTCGATTTTCAGCGATTTTAGACGAGTCAAAATGGCTTTAAAATCACAAATTTTGTTATAAAAAGCCTATTTTTCTAGTTTTCCAACCCGAAAAATTGCTTTTGAAGGCTCAAAATAGGTCGAAAAGCTTGAAAATAGTGAAAATTTACGGTTAAAAACATTTAAAAATCGATTTTAAGGTCATTTTCCCCTAAAATTGATGTTTTTAGAACCTTTAAAATCTTAAATTCAGCTAAAAAGAGCACTTTTTGAAGTGAATTTTAATTTTCAAGCGCTTTTAGGCTCAATTTTGATTGATTTTGGTCCAATTTAAGCCTATTTTCCACGAGAAAACTATCTAAAATAGTGCAAAACGGCGCTAAAAACGCGTCAAAGGCGCGCCAGCTTGAAGAAATTTCAATTTTAAGCGATTTTAGAACATTTTCGATTGAATTTAGGCAATTTTGACTAGTTTTGAGCCTCCAAAAACGGTCAAAATGGGTCAAAATTGGCTGAAATTGAGCAAAAAATCACGGAAAATGTACCTAAAACGCAAAATTCAACAATTTTGGATCATTTTGAGTCTTTCCAGCTTGATTTTGACCAATTTAAGGCGATTTCAGACAAATTTTCAGCTATTTTCAGCCGATTTTCGCCCGAAATGTCACCTATTTTTCGATTTTAGAACCGATTTTGGGCAATTTAGACTAGTTTTGAGTCTGGAAAAACGATCAAAATGGGTCAAAACTGGCTGAAATTGAGCTAAAATTGACCCAAACCGATCTAAAATAGTGCAAAATGGAGCTAAAAACGCGTCAAAGGCACGCCAGATCCTTGAAAAATGGCTAATTTCGCTCTAAATCGAGCTTAAAACTTCTAAATTTCGAATTTTCTGTCATTTTCCCCTTAAAATTAGTACTTTTAAGTCATTTTTGAGCAATTTTAGTGTACGAAAACTTTTTGGCACTAAAATTGTTTAAAAAGACTTA